ACCCCAAGTATGTCTTCGAGATCATCATCGAATCCAGATTCAAAGACGTCAGTGATCAATTCGTCATCTGGGTCATATTCGATCTCTGGACTTTTCATCTTCAACTCCTTTTTCTCAATAGGGGGTTTTTGTTTGATTCGTTTTGACCTCAATCCTAAATAGGGTGCGCCGCATATTTCTGATGGCGCTTCCTTGAGCTGATTGGATCGGTGTTTGAGCTCGGACTTGGGCTCAAACTTGAGCTTGAGCCTAAGCTAAAGCTTGTGCATATTTAGCTTTTTTGATCCTTTGAGCCGTTCGCCACTAGGTCTTAGTCATAGGAGCCTTATAATAGGGTTTTTTTTTTTACTGAAAATGGCTTCTTGACATACTAAGGAACCCAGTTTGAGCGGCAAATTGAGGTCGTGAAAAAACATGGGGACGACCCTCCCATTTCGACCAGTTGCATCTTTGGCCGAGTTAGTGAGGGATGCAACACATTTCGGACCCAGGTGTTGCTTGGGATATTTTGAGCAGGTACAAAAGTTCTGTTTTGGACAATTTGGGGATCTCGTATGGTGATCGAGGCATTTTGAGTTTGAACACCTTTATTCTTAGTGATCACTTGGTTAGTCGTCACCTAGTAATATTTTTTCATTTCTGATTGCTTGAAGGCTTTGGCCGCCGCTTTGTCAAATACGGCACTACACCTTGGGCATAGCATGACTTCACTGTCAGCTTCTTTCTTTCGAGTTAGAAAGTCCAATAGCAAATCTCCTGCCCTTGGGAAGATTTCAGCTTCTTCTTTCTCGAAGACTTCCAAGGTGTCATTCAAAGAGCCTTTTCCCTCTACCTTTTCCACAGCTTGATCAAATGATCCCTTTTGTTTTTCAGCAACATCGACCATCAGTATGTCAATAGGTTCCACGAAGTTAGCTTCATCAGCATTTTGATTTTTTGCTCGAATGTCAATCGTCCTTGCTTAATAGCGTCTTGAATCAAATCCCTAAAACGAACACAATTGTTAGTCCAGTGACCATAAACATGATGGAATTTGCAATATTTTTTACCCTTTCTTTGTTCTAAAGTGGGGATCTTATGATCATCAGATAACACAATTTGCCCATCTTTCAGTAAAATATCAAAAATATGATCTGCTTTGGAAACATTAAAAGCATAACTTTTATTAGGCCGAGTTTTATCCTTCATTTCAAGTGGTTTTAAAGATTGGCAAACATAAGGGGGTCCAGGTTTTAGTTCAGCTACATTCACCTCATTTACCCCTAAATCGACGTCTTCTTCGTCAAGATCATTCTCGCTTCCTATTTCTCCCTCAGCAAGACCTATGTAAGCCACTTTATCTTTTTGAGGAAGTTTCTTGATTTTTCTAGGAACAGATTTTTCAGCCTTAAGTTGCTTGATTAGCCTTACTTTCGTCGCTAATTGTGACATATCTCTTAGTTGCTGATTAATCAATTTCTTTCTAATCGAATATTCTAACTCGCCTACAGCCATTTGGACTAGTTCATATTTTGGAATTTGAATAAAACATCTCAGCCTCATTTGTCGAAATCTACTTAGATAATCATCAGTGGATTCATTATGCATTCTTTTTATATTGACTAAATCCATTAAGCTAACTTTTGCTTCACTATAAAAGAACTGTTCATGAAATCTTCTTTCTAGTTGATTCCAATTATGACATTTGGGAGCAAAGTTGTGAACCAAGTAAAGGCCCCCTAGTCAAAGAACTGGGAAAGTATTTCAACTTTAAATCTTCATTTCGAGCTAAATCTCCACATTCTATGACATATCTAGCAATATGTTCAACAGTGGATTCACCGGACTCTCCAGCAAATTTAGAGAATTTTGGGACTTTCCAGCCCTGAGGTAATTCAGCTTGCAAAATTGCCTCAAAAAATGCAGAGGCAAAGTAGGGTCTATTAGCATACCCTACGTTGAACCCATGTTGATTCAACACTTGTTCGACTACATTGACAATATTTTGAGGATTCGGGTTGTTTGGATATTGAATTTGATGCCCCCTACATTATTTTGCATAACTTGCTCGAGTATTTCATCAACATTCTGATTTCGAACAATAATACAGGGTTGATTTACCTGGAAATCACCCTCATTTTGTCTCGAAAGGTTTTGGTCAAAATTTCAACCAATTTACTCAACTGGAGCATTTTGATTTCGAGCAAAAACTGGGGGTTGGTCCACCTGGCAATTTCCCTCATTTTGTCTCGGAAGGTTTAGGCCATAATTCCTACCATTTTGCTCGAAAGTTTGACCATTTCAATCAAAATTTGTGGCATCTCATTAGGCATTTGGGCAACATTTTGCCCTTGCCTCGTGGGGACTTGAGGCGCCCCAAAGACGTCAGCAATTCGACTCATCTGTTCAGCCAAAACTTGATAGCTGTTGTTAGTAGTTTCTACTATGGGATTCAACACAGTGGTCATCTGATGGATTAACATATTGATCATCTCATGATTACTTTCATCCATTTGTTGCCTCAAGGAATGTAAGGCAACATTTGAAAACGAGCTAGCAGGAACTGATTCTCCGCTTGAAGCTCCAAACAAAAAGTGCGCTCCTGATACTCTACCAATTGTACCCATTCCCGGTGGAATGGTATGGACCACACCCATTTCCAGTGGAATGGTGTGACTTTGGGATGGCACAGTTGTCACCACAGGGTTGGAGTAGGTTTGTACTCCAAAGATGGGCGGCATACACACAGGAGGCAGGCCGAATGGCTGATCACCCAGTCATGGCCTTGGGTCAGGATTTATGTTGGGATTGGTTGGCATAGTGGCCATAAATTGGCTAACTACGGGGGATGACGGTGTAGGTAACACCGTCATTAGTGTGGATTATGCGCAATATTAGCACCACTACTTACATTTTCTGGGTTTGTAGTACTCTCATCGTTCCCAGAACTAGAATCACTATTCCTTCCTCTATTAGCCATAATACAACGTCCGTTACGCAATATCATGCAACATAACAATCAATCATTCAAAAACACACAAAACAAAGTCCCACTGGGCGTGCCAATTTGTTTACGGTGAAAAATGACAATTCTGTAAACAAATAATCCAAGAGCAATCTGGGGACTGGATTATATCCTTTTTGGGTTCTTTTAAGTGTGTTGTTAACGTAACAGTAAGATGAACATTTCAGAATAAATAATTTAGTAAGAATAGTGAATATGAAACATGTAAAACTGAATCACAACGTAGAGGTTCTTTACAGAAAAGAGCTAAATAGGAAACAAATTGCAGAAACAAGAACTAAATTGCGGACAAGGAAATAAGCAAAAGGAACATAAATTAAAATGCGGAAGGGTAAACGTGCAAGAATGTAAATATGCAGGAATGTAAACATACGACTCCTCACAACAGCGAACAGCGGCCACCGTGAGTCTCCTAGTAGCTGGTGTCTGGCGCGGTGTAGGGTTTCAGCGTTTCAAAGATTTTAGGTGTGGTGTCAGGGTGCAAAAAGTTGTCCTCTGTGAAATGACGCTTTGGAGTATTTATAGGCAGGAGGACCACCACCGTTCTCCTCCTTTTGTGGGCACTTCTTAATAACTACCTTCAACTATTGATGCCCATTATTCACGATTGTTTGTGATCGTGCTGTTGGTTTAGGCTTCTTTCGTAACTGCTATCGCCCACGATCTCCTTTGCCTAATGGTAAATGTTGATGACTGCTGGTAACCGCTTTTGGATTTTGTAATGACTTGACCTATTAAGACTTTTGTTTTTCTATCTTTCGAGTATTTCTGGAAGAAATCTAAGAGGTTCATTTAGTGTTATGGCCTTAGAATAATTTCTCCTTGACTTCTCTTTTCGACTAATTCTGGAGTTCTAAAGCTTGTCTTGGTCTCGTGGACTTAGAATATTTTCTTTGCTCATTCCTGTTTTTCGAGCAATTCTGGAAAGACTTTGGAGCTCAACTAGGTTGGCGGACTTAGAATATTTTCTGACCACTTTCTGTTTTTTGAGCAATTCTAGAGAGAATCTGGAGCTCAACCAGGTTTGTGAACTTAGAATATTTTTTGGACCACTTCTTGTTTTTCGAGCAGGTTTGGGTATCAAGGACTTGGAAACTCCTCGAAAAAGCCATCAATTTTGTGGACTTAGAATATTTTCTTGTCAGTCCTGTTTTTCAAGCAGTTTTGGGTGTCAGTGACTTGGAAACTCCTCAAAACTCTTCGAAAAAACTTTCAGTTTTGTGGACTTAGAATATTTTCATGTCAGTCATGTTTTTCGAGTAGTTTTAGAAGAAAATCAACAAGGTGATAAAAACTTCTAAAATAGCTCGAAATGTGTCCTTTTTTATATGAAATTAAAAAGTCTTGAACAACTTTTCAATACTTCTTAAGTTTAGATCTATTTTTAGGCTCATTTCTGACCCTTAAGAATTTGTTTACCTACTCGAGTAATTAACTCTTGAAGTAAATTGTTAAATAGTTTCTTTGCATACATATTTACTATAAATTAAGAGTGTTATACGCGTCTAATCAAATCATACACACGTCGAAAACGCAAAGTACTCGACAATATACTATGATGAGTCTTGCGTATGCATAATTATACATAGCAAAGTGTATTGAGCTCGGCTTAACATTGTATCTTTTAACTAATGAAAATTGATGTAATGCAATTGAGTATAATAGAACTAAAATGTACTGTGATTAAAAGTTTTATTTCAAATAAAATATAATAGAATGGATTTTTTTTTTCATTCAATTTTAATGTTATGAGATAAAATTAAATTTTTTCCGCTTTATCATTTATTTTCTTTCATCTCTTATTTCATTCTATTTTCAAATATAATTTAAGGGAATATTTTTATGTTGCAACTAATATACTTTAAAAACATTATTTTCAATGGAAATAAACAAATAAATTATATAAATAAAAAATTTTAAAGATCAAATTAGAGACGAAATTGTATATTATTCTATATAATTTTTATAGGCAGGGTTATTTGAACATTGGAAGTCAAGTAAGGCGAAAACGGAAAACCTGACCTTGTCTCGTCTGCGTCAATACACGCTAGATGCAGCTCAAAAACAAAATTAAGAAGAAATAAAATAAGAGAGAGGAGAGAGAGTAAAGTAGTTGGTAGGATCATCTCTTGCAGTTCCCATTGAAGTTGAGATTGGAAAATTCCGTTGCCCAATTCCTCAATTCCCAATCTGTTTCTGGATCATTCGAAATGGTTATCATTCTATTTCACATCTCTTTACAATACTCACTTTCATTCTTTTTTATTTTTAATTTTAAAATTATTTTCTCCTTTTGGAATTCGCAGATCCGATTCATTCTGTTGCAGAACCGGCAGGGCAAGACCCGTCTCGCCAAATACTATGTTCCTCTCGAGGATTCCGAGAAGCACAAGGTGGAATACGAGGTAACATCTTCTCTTCTGCAATTCTACTTCAACGCAACACCTGTACGAGACCTTAACCTAATTTCCCTGATTTCTCAGGTTCATCGCCTCGTCGTTAACAGAGACCCTAAATACACGAATTTCGTTGAGGTCGAAACCTCTTCGCTTCGTCTACAATTTTGAGTTGCTTGCTTTCGTAATTGCGTTAATTTTGTGATTATTACGTTTCTTTCAGTTTCGTACGCACAAGATCATTTACAGGCGATATGCTGGGTTGTTTTTCTCACTCTGTGTTGACATCACTGATAATGAGTTGGCGTATTTAGAGTGCATCCATTTGTTTGTGGAAATTTTGGATCACTTCTTCAGCAATGTGTGTGAACTCGATTTGGTTTTTAACTTCCACAAGGTTTGAAATTATAGTAGTGCTCTTCATTTTATTTTCTGCTGCATTTACTCTTTAGAATTGAGATTATATTAGGATATTGACCAACCATAGCTTGCACTTATCAATATGCTATATCGTTTATGTAGCTGCAAGATTCCAGTTTCGTTTCTTCCCTTCCACTTTTTCTGTTCTAATTTAGCATGCCTTGAATATAATCAAATTCACCAGTGGCTGTTTGTATGTCTAATTTATATAATGTTTTTACCATTCTCTCTTATATGGTTTTAGTTTTCTTTCTGAATAAAGGGTGTGTTTGGAAAAGTTCATGGATATCTTGTGAAAATAACCTGTGATTTTCATTAGTTTCTTTTAGCTTATTTCAATAAGCTTCTTAGTATAGTTTAACAAAATAATTTGTTTTTAGTTTATTTCAATTATTTTCATTGTTAAATTTGTGGCATAAGTTATCATATAAAAATAGCTTAAAGAATAAGCGTTTAATTAAATTGTGTATCTAAATGCAATCGCAAGGGATGGGATGATGGGATTAGAGTGGTTATTGATCACAATATTTGATTATATTGTTACTTAATATTACCTAATATGTCTTGAAGGTCTATCTTATACTTGATGAATTCATTCTAGCGGGTGAACTGCAAGAAACAAGCAAGAAGGTATGCCTTCTTTTGGAGTTACTAAGTCTTGAAATGTGGTTGCTACCGTGAGATTTGTGGTGTGTTGTTAGACTATGATTCAGGCCTAGTTACTTTAGCGTACTTCTCTGCTTATGAAAATTGTGGCCTGGGTTTTACTTATTTATATGATGTAATTCTATGACATGGAAAATCTTGATTCCGTAACAAGGCTGTTTTTGTGCTCGCAGGCTATCATTGAGAGAATGGGGGAACTGGAAAAACTAGAGTGAAACAGTCGTTTCGGCAGTCATAGTGGTTTGGAGATTCTGATGATTTCTCATGCACTTGGCATAATTCTTGTATTTCAATTGTGATACAGAATTTTGAAAATCTTTCACCTTGAGCCATGTATTCTGTACCTTTTACCTAGGCTTCTTACTCAGCTTGTGTTTATATATTGAAGACAATTTATAAAATCATCGTTTCTAATAGTCTTCCTCTTTATTGTTTGTGCTTTATTTTGTTTCCTTTGTTTTTTAAATTTCGTTGCTCTTTCTGGTAGTAACAGTCCGAGGAAATATAAGTGGATGATTTTAATACAATGCAAAACTAACAATTTTGACGGTACAAAAGAACTACCGGTGAACAATTGCTGTATATGTTTTATTTTCCAGTTAGATGAGAGCAACGCGTCTCTGAGAATGAGAAGATTTGAGAGCATGATCGTTTCAAATTTGACGTCTTGCTACAATGTATTAACATTGGTGATTTCTCTCGCTTTCACTAGATAAGTTTTGTGCTGCTTCCTATATATACACCAATGAATCGCAGTCTGATCTCTCAACACATTACCATTGCACTTGATGCGATGTTGACCTACAATTTGGGAGCCTGTCCCTAATTTCTTCACATACAAAAGGGAGATGAAGGTCTAGTCCATTTGTCCTGGAAGGAGGCAAGGAGCTGCTGCTGTTGCCCAGAGATTGAAGTAATCTTGGATCCAAATATTTCTTGTGATGCAGGGGAACGGGGAATGATGGTTTGGGCACATGGACTTACTGCAGAAGAATCATGCCTTCCACTTTGCCAATTAGGAAATTGGGTCCTCATAATATTGAAATTTACTGTAGACCTACCTTGTGCTGCTTGTTGCAACCCCCAGTAGCTTTGGTGCTCTTGTTTGTTTAAGACTGTTGGACTATAATGAGTTCCACATAACGGGCTACCATAGTAATGAGGTTGCTGCATCCGAACCTACAGTCAATTAAAGCATTGTGGAAAAGAAAATTAGCATTATGCTAATAAGGGTGGCATATTTATGAAGATATTAAATTGCACTTTTTTTGTGTTTTGGTTGTCCGAGTAGTTCATTCAATTCTTAGCAATAAACTTTAGCCACTTCATGTCATATAGTTAAAAAACAATAATGTATTGCTATCTCCACCAAATTTGGGCCCTTGATTTTGGAGCCCATTTGATTTGATTAATAGTGCTCTCGCAACAAAGATTAATAATACCTGTGGTCCTGCAACAGAAAGCTGATCAGGGTAAGAAGTCGAGGCATACTGACTCTGAGCCGTAGGAATTGGCATCACTCCATGCTGTTGTGCTAGTGACTGAAAATAAGGCACTTGCAATTTCGACAATGGTTCCAACCTACTTGCAATTTTATTATAATTATTATCGACTTTTAACCCATTACTTCCAGCTGACAAGGACAAGAAGTTAAAATTCTGCATAATAAGGATAGTCATCAGTGCGTGAGGCGGTATGGGAAGGAAGCATCTTTACCAAAAGTAACCTTTTAAGCTTACTTGCTTTTGAGGGCCATACACCCCAGGTGTTGGAGTAGCCTGTGATATGTCACGATAATGGCATTGCTGCTGAAGGATGACATTCTTACTTTTATGAGGATTCCTCACTGTAGCTGAAGCAATTCCATTTCCCATTCCGGTTATGTTGTGTACTTCCAAGAGAACTCCACTCTTTGATCCTTCATGCGCTCTCATTTGATGACATTCAAAAAGCTCACTTTCTTTGGTAACCTGTCTTTTTGGCACCTCTAAACTCTGGATGATATGACTGATGTGAACATGAGCTGCACATCTCTTCCATGATCTCTTATGAATCCCAACTTCAGAAATCTGCATGGTTAGTTATTGGCTGTTTAAGTGGAGTGCATATCGTTTAGGATTAAGTGATTTTAACATTAAAGGCTTGTTTGAAAGAACTTATGAAACAACTGATAATTCTCATAAGTTCTTTTTATCTTATTTTATTAAGTTTCTTGGTATAACTTATTAAAATAAATTGTTTTCAACTTATCCTAATAACTTTCATTGTTAAATTTATAGCATAAGCCATTCTTTAAAAAAACTTATTTAATAAATGTTTAAATAAGCAATGTATCCAAATGCACCGATAGAGGCAAGAGACACAAAACAGCAGTAATCATAAATTTGTGAGTCCTTACCTTTCCACTAGGAGAACAAGTTGAAGTCTCCATCAAATCCTGTTTGTAGGTACAGATTGCAGCTTCCAGCCAATCAGGTGCTTTAGTAGCAGAAGACCTTGGAAAGAAAAAACAATCAGATTTAGACAAGCACAACAGGAAGGGTCAAAATCAAGCTACCTAACAAGGTGAAAATGAAGTAGAATGAAAGAAACTTACTGCAGATAAGCATGGCCAGCAGGTGCCCCTGCAGACAAGCCTGGCCACAATGCAAGACCATCTAATAAAAAAACCAAAAGATGTCCAATAATCAGCAAACCCTTTAGTTAGTCTCTAAAATAAGATTGATTCAACATTATTAAAATGAAGCTTACCATTCCCTTTTAGTTCCTTGATCATATGCTGTTGTTGCCTAATGTCTCTTGCCTGAAATGTAAACCGATAACAACATTAATGAGTACTAGCAAAATTTTGGTAATACCATACAAACTGTTTAAGTTGAAATTCCTACCGCCTCAAATTCTACATCTGATTTCATCTCATTTTCTGAAATCCGTGATTGTCTAGGGATATTTAATCTGCAATATGATGAGAAACGTGTAATAGATACAAAAGGACTTGAAAGTTCAGATATTTCATAGAATGCAACAAAAAATTACCTACCCCATTGCAAGACATAACTCTGAGTCATGCAATGCAACTTTGTTGCTATTTTCACCATTAACCATCACAGACATGGTCTGAAATCTCATTGTTGAAGAAATACTATGGGATGGCATCAAGAACTCTGCACTCGCAAGCAAACTAGGCTGTTCTTGACCAATAGATTCATTCAAACAAACAATTTTTGAAGCATCTCTAGGTGAACTTTCAGGACAACAAGGACTTGCACCCTGAGCAGTTGCCGGGACTAGAATAGAATGAACCAAAAGAGAAAAAAAGAGAAGGAAAAAGCATGAGTTAATAACTAAGACAAGTATCCCAGAAAGAGAATAAATAAATGATCACCATTTTGTAAGGGTGAGAATGAATAATAACAACCTTCAAGAGCAGCACTAGCATTATCCTCCGACTCCTGCAAAACTAAAGAGTTATCTGGCAAAGATTCCACATCTTGTGCCCCACTACTATGATTAGAGCCATTGTAAGGGAACATTCCAGCCAAGGCATAGAGAGTCTCCGCAACCTCTTCCTCATCTTTTGTGATGGGCCCAGAAATCCCTTCTCTCGGGGACCATTCTCCTCTCATTCCTTGTTTCTACAAAAGCAAAAAATTCCAAGCAAAAGGTGAAAAAGAAAAATGCTTGGAGAACGAAGCAAAAGGGCCAAGTTTTAAAACCGGCAACCACAACTCATAGATGTCTTACTTACAACACTCACTTTGCACTTCTTTATACTCACCTTTTTGGGAGATTCTATTCCATTCATCTTATGGTTCACCTTTTCTGAATCAAGTAACACGGATTCGCGACTGAGTTTCTTCGTGGCTGTAGTTTACAAAGAGAAAAAAAATCACCTTTTTATTAGGAAAATAATATTTCCACTTCCTACACAGGACTTGGTTAATCAAAAGCTATAGTATATCAGTAGAATGAAATATCTTAGAATAATTCATAAACCAAAAAAAAAAAGGACCAAAACATAATCTGTAGCCCAACAATTATAATAAAGAAAAAGCAAAAAAAAAAAAAAAAAAAAAAAAAAAAGCTTCTCAGGATTGCTTCAACTCTAATCCAAAATCAGCAACAACAAGAAGGAATAGAAAGGAAAGCACATAATGAACGCTTCGATATCGAATTTGAAAGACACAAACACGCACCTGAGCGTAGCTTCCGTGGAACAGAGGCATGATGAACGCCATTGCAGTCATTAAAAAACTGCCACAAAAATCATAATAATCATTCAAAGGAGATAAAGAACCAAACAGAATAAAGTCATAATTAAAACAACATTAACCAATTAATTAACTAATAACATACATTCTTAGGAAGCTTAAATCTCTTGGCGTTGGCAATGACAGGGGAAGAAGGGTGACGTGGCTGTTCTTCAGAAACATGGCAAGCCATTTGACAAGTCGTTAACGCCCTCCCCACGGCACTCAAGCTTCTGAGCTTCTCCTTCTTCGATTTCTCCGAGAATCGAATGTCCCCACGAATAGAAGCAGTGAAAACTATCACTCAAAAAGATAACAAGTGAAGGGAAAGCGAAAAGAGAAGCGTTATCTGAAAGCTTAAAGAAAGACACAAAAAACGACAAGCAGAAAACTGGTTTTGTTTGTTAGCGAAGAAAAAGGCAGAACGAGTTAGTGTTGTGTAATTTACCACCGAAGAGTTTGTGTCGTCGAGATTGTTTATTAATGTGTCGTCGTTTGTTTGTGTTTGAAAACCCATTGTTTCCACGCCTCACCTTTGGAGCCTTGTCCATTTGTTTCTAGAATGATTATAACAATAACAAGCACAATGTGGGTGTTGGTTTGTTTCTCTCCGGTGAAGTTGAAGTGGAAGAAGTGAGAGTTTAAGAGAGAGAGAGAGAGAGAGAGAGAAAAAGGTAATGAGAATGAGATTGTGTGGTACTGTGATAGTTGAGTTTAGTTGTGTAGAAAAGAAGGTAGGAAAAGTGAGTAATTGGTGCCTCGTGTTCAGAGAATCAGGTTCTTTGTGAAATCAAATAAAAAGTAAAGGAGAATGGTGAATCAATGAATGGATGGAGATAGACCCAAAAAATTAGGAGAGTGGAGAAGATCTAACTAGCAATAAAGGACAAAATTAAGAACCCCTCACAAATTTTTAGTAGGTTATTGTCAGTCACTTTGCTTTGATTAACATGGAAAATTGTAAATATATAATTTAAGACAACATATTTATAACTATTATATATATTTATGCTATTAAAAAAAAATTCTAAAATTAAATGAGAAAATTTTTTATCTTTATTTTTGTGTTCGCAAAACATTTTACTTAATGATTTATTGAGAGAGAAGAAAATTGTGTTTTATTAAAAAAAAATTAACAGAGGAATGGAATTGAGTAAAGAGAAATGGAAGATTCAAAATGCTTGTTTAGAAGTTTTTAATGTGATAATGTGACTCGGCCGGTGAGCAAATTTTTGTCAACTTATCTGAAATGCGCATCTCTTCTTTTAAAATAGTAATACCTATTTTTGTATTATTATTATTTACCTAGCTTAATTTTTTTAAAATAAAAAGTAAAAATGACCAAATAGAGAAATATAACTACAAGAAGATAAATAATAGAAATATAAAAAAATTTACTCCCTTTGTAAGATGGTGCAAAAGAATGAAGCTTTGGGTGGTTAAGTTGAAGAAGTGAAGCTTTACAAATTGCATATTATAACGATTCTCCCTCTTTATTCCGCTAGCTAGCTAGCAGTAAAGTTCTCTCACCTTTGTCTTATCAGGATTGAAATTTGATTTATTTGTTTCTTCTTTCGAAAGTGCTCTGTGCTTCTTGTTAAGTTAAATTCTTGTTACTGTGTAATACTTTTAAGATAACAGGAACTTTAAACTAAAACACTAATGATATATAAAAAAAAGTTCTCAAAATTTAAAACTGTTAATCTGTACAAAAATATATATCGAAGAATAATAGATCCAAAGCAGACAGATGAAAAACACAAGGACTAAAATAAAGAACTCTCATTTAATTTTGATGTAATTTGAATGTCATTATAATAAAAAATAAAGTTTTGTTAATTTTGAGGACTGAATTTAAATATTCATATATAAAAAAAATTTATGAAAAAAATTATATAATTATTATATTAGAATTATAAAAGTACAATAAACTTTTTTAATATAATTTTATTATTATTAATTAATTATTCTTAATTTTACTAAATTAATAAATTCTTAAAAAATAAGCCAAAAATAATTTTGTTCAGACAATCAGAAATCAAAGCAGGCAGAATGAAGTCAGACAGATCGAATAGCCAAGAAATAGCACAGATAGCCTCTGCCACCGTATTACAGTCATGAGGAATATAATTATTGCCCAAGTTAATAAATCAATCAAGAAGCATACAAGAAATACTAATTTTTTTATAATAATATAAAAAAAAGAAATGGGTATTTTTAACATATATTTTTAAAATTATTTATTTATATATTTTTGCTAAGTAAAGTAACTAATTATTGCGTTCGAATTTTTCCACAAATAAACTCAGCTAATTTCGTTCAAAATAATCGAAACCAAAAATATCTTTCTAGTATTCAAGGCCCATGAGCCGTTGTTTTTGCTAAACTGAGATAACTTAAAAATGAGAGTGTGGAAAGAGTTAACACAGAGCCACGAATTTTCCTTCAATTGTTTTGCACCAAATGAATCACTCTTTTGTTGTTTCTCGTGCTGAAGGAGAGGGCAATCAACGGTAAACGATTCTCCTTGTTTTCCCTGTAGCCGTTAGATCACCGCCCAAAGTACTAAGTCAAACGCAAGTGTCCTCCTCGTCGCACGTAACGCAGCTCTGTTCACAATAACGGTCGGTAATTTTTTAATAAAAAATGGAAAAAGTTACATAAATATAATTTTTTAAAATTATCAGCGACAATTTTTTACTATAATTCTTTATTATTTTTTAAAAAATTGACAGTAACAATTTTTATTTTTTTATAATTTTATAATGTTTTAATATTTTAAAAAATCGCCAGAGATAAGTTTTAAAAATTAATAATTTTTTGTTCTTCTATCTATATTTATACCAAAAAATTTTTAGTGGCAATTTTTAAATTTTATATTTCCTTAATTTTCTTAAAATACCATATTTTAATATACATATTTTTCAACTCAATAACGTTTATAACAATATAAAAATATTAATTTTGCAATAATTAATTCTTTTATTATATATCATAATTTCAAAATATTAAAACATATTTTAAAAAAATAAATTTTTTAATAATTACAATTATAAACTAATTTTAAATAATATAATCTAAACAGAATTTTATTAAAATTAGTTTAATTAAAATTTTAGATTAGTTCATTTTTTAAAATTTAAATTTAATTGAATATAACTATATATAATAATTTCTTCTAAAATTAAATTAAAAAAATATATAAGAAATTAAAACTAAAATCCAAATAAACATTAAATGGTGAACGATGAAGGATTGAGATTTTCCATGCAATTGATACTGCTTCTTTGATTATTTTATATAAAACGCTCTTTAGATAGAAAATAAGAAATAAATAACTTCAGGGTTTTCTTAATGTGCAATCGTTTTAACGTTAAAATAACTATTCAGGTAATTAATTCTAATTATATTAATTTTTTAGAAATATTATAAAATTTTATGAAATAAGTTAATTCAATTAATTAACTTTTATATTATATAGATTAAATTTTCACTTTAGTCCTAAAATATGTAGAGTAGGTTAAAGTCTTTTAAATTTTAAATTTGAAATGTTAACAATTATCAATCAATTTAATCCTTAATAATAAAAGAAGTTAAAATAAGTAATAAGAAATTAATTTGTCACATTAAGTGCAATGTTATATTTATGTTTCAGCGTGTATTTTCTTTGGTTTTCTTTATTTAAATTCAATCATTTATGTGCATTCAATTTTCGTTTTCATTCTCTTGCTTTATTCGAGACAACAACTACCACCCTTCATTTGATTGATGGAAACAATTGTTTGTTGGCTATGAGAAACATACACACTATATTCAATTTTCTCTTTTATTTATAATGTAATAGTCTCCTACATTGATCCTCCCATTATAAAAGTCTTTTATTTTATTTTTGTCTTTCACTTTTATTGTAAAAATAAGGTAGACTGAGGTGTGTGATAATACTACCCGAAAGAATTTATTTGCCTAAGTCTAATCCTTTAAGATACAACGACCTATTCTAAATGATATTAAGAACAAAACTAACAAGGATATTATAACTCAGAAAGAAGAGTGACTCAAAAAAACTATGCACTAAAAAAGTCACGTTAATAATTTTTGTTAGATCAGTGTCTTTTACATATGTATCATTTTGTTTGAATTGTGTTGTGTATGCTTAAAGTGTATAAATTTTCATATATTAGAATACAAATACAATAAGTTGTATGATTATTGATGTAAGAGCTGAGCAATTATAATGCATAATGGTTGTTGTGTTTAATATTATTAAGTGTATTACGTGTGTGATAACCTAAGGAGTGAAGTCAAGGACTTGTGTTACCTCTGTTAAGAGTTCTCGGTGCTGGGTGTCTTGCTCAAGCGAGGCTGAGTCATGCTAAATTAGGCATTTGATAACCACGTTGTAATGGTTTGAAATAAAACTAGATTTCTCAAATAATTTTGCAATATAGGGTGCAAACCTCAGTCATCTCACAAGGACACAAATTCATTCTCTTTTCAGTTTTAAACATATAACAATGGTTAGATTGGAAATTTTGTAGTTTTTAAGAATTTAAACAAAAACATAAATTTGAATTGAAAAGCATTAATGTAAATTAACGAAAATGAATTTAAAACAAAAAAAAACAAAAATGAAAACGAATTTAAAACCCAGAAAAATGAAAGTGAAAATAAATTGAAAACGAAACAAATTGAAAATGAAAAATGAAAAACAAATTGAGAGAAAAACAAATGCAAATTAAAATGAATAAACGCAACAAAAATGAACACGAATTAAAACCATGAATCATAGACACAAATTAGGATTACTATATCAAATTTACCTAAATCTCAAATGAAAAAGAAATCAACCGATCAATCTTACACTCAAGAATAAAAATCAAATTCAATTGAATTATGCATGTACCAATCTTAATCAAGAATTGCGAGAAAGTAAAAAGACAAACTTTAAGTGATCAATCGATCTTGCAATCCACGCTTGAGACAAGATGATTCGCGAGAAAAGAATAATTGAGAATTGCAGTAGAATTGAAAATTGAATTTTTTTCAGAATCCAAAAAGAAGCAAGTAAACAGTAACGAAAAAGGTTTTTATCTCAAAAGTGGGAAAAAGTCTTACAAAATTCAAAATTAAAAAAAAAAAGAGCCTCAAAGTCAACTTTTTGACCCCTATATATATTGGTCTTAAATGAGACGAAAATAAATGGGCCAAGGCTGCTGCAAGTAATTATAATAAAAGTCCTAAATAGAAACCCTAAATATAATAAGTATGTTTTAAGTTTGAACTTCAAAAAATAATTAAAAAATGGCTCTGAACTCCAAATAGCAAGATCCATATATCCAAATTGAAGCCCAAGAAGTCACGAATCCATTGTAAAAAGAATCAGCCAAAAAAGAAATCTACAAAAAAAGTTATGGCTGAAATAGTAGACAAAGATTAAAATAGAGAAGAATATGAAATATAAAGTAAAGATAACAAATATTTATAAAAACTCCAATTTAATGCAAGAAATGCAAAAATATGTTAAATGAAATAAATAAATAAAGAAAAGGTATTTTGGAAGATGCAATGAGACTAAAAATGTGAGTACCAAATATGAGTCATCAAATACCCTCACACTTAAGCTTTTGCACTCCCAAGCAAAAAAAAAAAGAAAG